TTCTGTGTTATGAATACCGACCCTTTTGTAATATTATGAATAGGGACCCTCATGAATAACGAACCCAATTTTGTATTATGAATAGCGACCCTCTTCTAATATTATGAATACCGACCCTCTTCTTTCATTATGAATAGCGGTCCTTATGAATAATGACCCTTATGAATAATGACCCTTTTCTCCAATTATGAAAAGCGGACCTTATGAATAGCGGTCCTTATGAATAGCGGACCTTATGAATAGCGGTCCTTATGAATAGCGACATTGACCCTGCAGTACAGTGGTCTGAAATCAGATTATTAATTACTGGCTCTATAGCTCTTAAAGAGAAGGGTGAGTTCTGGGAAGAGGTGAAAAATAATTTGTGAGCGTTATCATTCCTATTATGCAAGTGTGGAAGAACATCAGATAAGACATGTTCCCTTAAAAAGCATGGCTCTTCAAATGCCTTCATATTCTAAATATGTCATGTAACATCGTAAAACTCGGGGGAATAGCCTTTTTACGCCACGTGGTTGTGTAGTCCCATATACATCTTTCTGTGTACAGTGTTTGTAACTTTACCAAGACTTGGCCAAATTTCTTATCATTTTGATGATTCCAGAACCTTGCAATACACACAAATTCTTATATGCTAGATGATCAACCTTTTCTGGTCGATTCCACACCGTTTCTTTCACAATGCAATCGCAAAACCAGAACTCAACTTCATCTTTTAGTTGATTAAACTACTAATAGTCGTTATTTTCCCACTTAAAGACATTTTCAAGCCCCCTTTTTTTTCGGAAAGTTCTAAATTAATATTGTCTTTCAAATGCTGTTGGAATTTAACCTTTTCATTTTTGGGGCCTGCAAATGGACATAGTACCTTTAAAGTTCCAGATATGTGTAAAACGTATTCCATTAGCAAATAATGAAATACTCAACTTTGCCTCTGAAGAAATAAAAATTCTTCATAGTTACGTGACATATTCTTTTTGTCAATACTCCTCTTTGAAAATCCATCGGCAAAGTGATTTTGAGAATTTTAATGGATATCTGCATTTAAAGTGAATTTTGATGTGGAATTGGGAAATCTTAATGAATTTTGATATTTGGAATCTCAAAGTTTGTGAATTTCAAAGTTTAAATTCATCCAATGTACAGAAAGCCAGTGCTGTAAAGTCTTACTGCCACACAAGCCTTAATTTTCATGACTTGGACAGAGGTATATAATACATGTAATGTTTTTCTGCCACACAAGCCTTAATTTTCATGACTTGGACAGAGGTATATAATACATGTAATGTCTTTCTGCCACACAAGCCCTCATTTTCTTGACTTGGACAGGGGTAGACAATAATGTCTTACTGCCACACAAGCCTTAATTTTCATGACTTGGACAGAGGTATATAATACATGTAATGTTTTTCTGCCACACAAGCCCTCATTTTCTTGACTTGGACAGGGGTAGACAATAATGTCTTACTGCCACACAAGCCTTAATTTTCATGACTTGGACAGAGGTATATAATACATGTAATGTCTTTCTGCCACACAAGCCTTAATTTTCTTGACTTGGACAGGGGTATATAATACATGTAATGTTTTTCTGCCACACAAGCCTTAATTTTCTTGACTTGGACAGGGGTATATAATACATGTAATGTCTTTCTGCCACACAAGCCTTAATTTTCATAACTTGGACAGAGGTATATAATACATGTAATGTTTTTCTGCCACACAAGCCTTAATTTTCATGACTTGGACAGAGGTATATAATACATGTAATGTCTTTCTGCCACACAAGCCCTCATTTTCTTGACTTGGACAGGGGTAGACAATAATGTCTTACTGCCACACAAGCCTTAATTTTCATGACTTGGATAGAGGTATATAATACATGTAATGTTTTTCTGCCACACAAGCCCTCATTTTCTTGACTTGGACAGGGGTAGACAATAATGTCTTACTGCCACACAAGCCTTAATTTTCTTGACTTGGACAGGGGTATATAATACATGTAATGTCTTTCTGCCACACAAGCCTTAATTTTCATAACTTGGACAGAGGTATATAATACATGTAATGTTTTTTTTATGCCACAGAACTGGCTTTCTGTACTGGCTTTCTGTACATTGGATGAATTTAAACTTTGAAATTCACAAACTTTGAGATTCCAAATATCAAAATTCATTAAGATTTCCCAATTCCACATCAAAATTCACTTTAAATGCAGACATATAACTTCTTTTTTTTTTCCACAGAAGCCTTAATTTTCTTGACTTGGACAGAGGTATATAATACATGTAATGTCTTTCTGCCACACAAGCCTTAATTTTCATTACTTGGACAGAGGTATATAATACATGTAATGTCTTTCTGCCATACAAGCCCTCGTTTTCTTGACTTGGACAGGGGTAGACAATAATGTCTTACTGCCACACAAGCCTTAATATCCATGACTTGGACAGAGGTATATAATACATGTAATGTCTTTCTGCCACACAAGCCCTAATTTTCTTGACTTGGACAGGGGTAGACAATAATGTCTTATTGCCACACAAGCCTTAATTTTCATGACTTGGACAGAGGTATATAATACATGTAATGTTTTTCTGCCACACAAGCCTTAATTTTCTTGACTTGGACAGGGGTATATAATACATGTAATGTCTTACTGCCACACAAGCCTTAATATCCATGACTTGGACAGGGTATATAATACATGTAATGTCTTTCTGCCACACAAGCCTTAATTTTCTTGACTTGGACAGGGGTATATAATACATGTAATGTCTTACTGCCACACAAGTCTTAATTTTCATGACTTGGACAGAGGTATATAATACATGTAATGTTTTTCTGCCACACAAGCCTTACTTTTCTTGACTTGGACAGGGGTAGACAATAATGTCTTACTGCCACACAAGCCTTAATTTTCATGACTTGGACAGAGGTATATAATACATGTAATGTTTTTCTGCCACACAAGCCTCAATTTTCTTGACTTGGACAGGGGTAGACAATAATGTCTTACTGCCACACAAGCCTTAATTTTCTTGACTTGGACAGGGGTATATAATACATGTAATGTCTTTCTGCCACACAAGCCTTAATTTTCATGACTTGGACAGAGGTATATAATACATGTAATGTTTTTTATGCCACACAAGCCTTAATTTTCTTGACTTGGACAGGGGTAAATAATCTTTCTGCCATGACAAGCTCCTTGGCTTTTCATTGGTTCCTCCACAGCATTGGAATATTATTGCATTACCTGTATTATATGTGTGTGATGTTTCTATTCAATGAGGAAAAAAGATAAATCAATTTTTTGGTCATTCAAAAGTCACAAATAAATAGTTGTATACTTTTTGGACATCAAGTTTTTTAGGCACACAAGCCTTAATTTTCTTGTCTTGGACAGGGTAGCTGATCGTCTTTTCTGCCACACAAGCCTCAATTTTCACGACTTAGGCGGGTAAATGATGTGTTTTTGCGGGACACAAGCCTTAATTTTCCTGACTTGGATGGAGGTAGACAATAATGTCTTTTGGGCATACAAGCCTTAATTTTAATTTTAAAAACCAGTCTCAACACATATTGTATTAAAAAACACACAAGATGCATTTCCATTTAATTTTAGACAAACACACAAGAAGTTGGGAATTAAGACACACAAGTAGTCTTTAGAAGGAAAAAATGAAAAGACACACAAGATACCCCTTTTTTTCAGACACACAAGACAAAAATCTCACAAGCATACTGTCGTGAGTAGTACCGTACGTCTGTACGTACGTCCGTACGTACGTCCCGTTCTCGTGATCACGTTATCTGAAGAACGGATCAATGGATTCCTACCAAACTTTGGTCATATATGTATCTAGCAAAGTCGATGAACTGATTAGATTTTGGGGTCACGAGGTCAAAGGTCACAGGGCTCATTATGTATGCAAAAACAGCTCGTGATCGCGTTATCTGAAGAACCGATAGATGGATTCCTGCCAAACTTTGGTCATGTATGTATCTTGTAGAGTCGATGAACTGATTAGATTTTGGGGTCACGAGGTCAAAGGTCAAAGGTCACAGGGCTCATTATGTATGCAAAACGGCTCGTGATCGCGTTATCTGAAGAACCGATAGATGGATTCCTGCCAAACTTTGGTCATGTATGTATCTTGCAGAGCCAATGAACTGATTAGATTTTGGGGTCACGAGGTCAAAGGTCAAAGGTCACAGGGCTCATTATGTATGCAAAAACAGCTTGTGATCGCGTTATCTCAAGAACCGATTGATGGATTCCTGCCAAACTTAGGTCATGTATGTTACTTGCAGAGTCGATGAACTTATTTGATTTTTTCGGTAACGAGGTCAAAGGTCAAAGGTCACAGCGCCCATTATGTATGCAAAAACAGCTTGTGATTGCGTTATCATTAGAACAGATTGATGGATTCCTGCCAAACTTAGATCATTTATGTATCTTGCAGAGCCAATGAACTGTGTAGATTCTTGGTTCATAAGGTCCAAGGTCATGGGCTCATTATGTATGCAAAAATAGCTTGTGAACGCATTCTCATTAGAACTGACAGATGGATTACTATTTAACTCTGGATATCTTGCAGAGCCAATGAGCTGAGTAGATATTAGGATCATGAGGTCAAAGTTCAAAGGGTCATATATGTATATGAGAAATTGTTTGTAATCACGATATTCTGAGAACCTGTTAATGGATTACAATTGAACTTGAATTTGAAAAATTTCTTCTGTTTTGGTTTGTAAAATTGCTCTATGACGGAGGCATCATTTTCGACTGCGCGCAGTCGAATTCCATCTAGTTTTGTCATAGGACCTGTAGTAATATAAGTAGCAGTAGTAGTAGCAGTAATAGTAGTAGCATTAGTAGCAGTAGTAGTAGTACTAGAAGTAGTAGTAGTAGTATTATTGACAATATCATTACTACCACATAACTGCTACCAGAGTACCCCTTTAACTATTCCATATCTTTGGGTGTTCTCCAGGGAGCTGTTGTGTCGCCTAGTGATGAAGACTCGCAGACCTTCATGGTGAATGCTGCCAATGGAGAGGTTTACAGGCTACGAGCTCAAGATGCCAAAGAGAGACAGCTGTGGGTCAGTCGGCTCAGGTCTATCGTTCAGAGACAAAGAGATATGCTGGTGGTAAGTTCATGGAACTCCAGGGGGATGTTTCACAAAGATCCTAAGTTGAACTTATCTCTAAGTTGGACTTAACAATTATGGAAAGCTGTTAGCATCATTGAAAATATTTTGTAAAAATTATTTTAAAAGACATGAGATGTTGATTCAAATCATTCATATTTTCTATTATCTTGGGAGATTTCATGTTCTTGATGTGGAATTTATAAAAAGTCTAACATACTTGAATTTTCACTTTTGAATAAATTTATTTTAAGGCTTCAAATGGCTCTCCATAATTTTTAAGTCCAACTTAGAGTTAAGTTTGACTTCAAATCTTTGTGAACCCCCCCCCCCCCCCTGCTTCTTTCCGTCCTTCCTGCACGACTTTATTACCCCCTCTCCCCTTTTCAAGCTTATTTTGCTTTCCATTTGATTTCCTTTAACTCCTGCAGTGTGCATATATTAATGGTTGAAAATACAGAGACTGTCTTTCATCAGTCGTCTAGGAGCTGCCCTTATAGAAACAAAAAGAGCCAAAGATAGACTTCTATCTTGTAATACATGTATGTTGTCCCCCCCCCCCCCCCCTCCCCTCTCTCTCTCTCTCTCTCTCTCTCTCTCTCCTGCCGTTGTCCTTGAACTCTCTGAAATACATTCAAACAGTGCAATTTTTTCTCTTTCTTGGTTTTCTTTGTATTTTGAATTGTTTTGTTCATTTTCACCAATTTGCTGCCCAGATTAAAGTGGTTATTTGATCAATGGATCAATCGTCATTTAGCCAAGTTTGTGATTTCAGCCCCAGAGTCAATGTTGTTTGTCCATTGTTCCCTCCAAGAATTCAGAGACCGCTCCCTGACCTTGTCATCAGGGGGGTGTTTCACAAAACTTGTCATCAGTGACAAATGACACTTTGTGTTATAAGCTACTGAAATCCTTGCTTCTGATTAGATTTGTCATTGAAAAAAGGCTTCGTGAAACGCCCCCATTAGCCTCTTCACAATCATACATCATCCAAATGGAGTCTACTACAGGAACACCACCCACACAACTCTGTCTAGATACTTATACACTGGGACCCGTTTCACAAAGCCTTTTTTCAATGACAAATGACAAAAATCAGTGACAAATCTGCTAATAACCAATCAGAAGCAAGGATTTCATTAGCTTACTACAAAAACTGTCATGTGTCACTGATGACAAGTTTGGTGAAAAGTTTTCTTCACAGGAACTCCTGCGCAGTTCAGTCTCCTTACAAACTGTTGTCATGTTTACACATTTGTTTGTTTTTGTTTTTTGTCCGCCCAGGATTTCAGGGACCCCTCTCTGTCTGCGTCATCAGAGTCTCTTCACAACCGCACAGCGTCCAAGTGGAGTCTTCACAGGAACTCACCGCGGAGCTCAGTCTCCTCGCACGCGGGTGTCAGCGGTGGGATACAGAGGCAGACCAGGACGTCTGCCACACTGACGGCAACGCAGGAGTCCCTGAGGAACGCCAAAGAAATCCTGATTGTAGCCGAGGAACAACAGAAGAACATGGTTCAAGGATTGGAGGTGAGGATAAGTAAACATGGCAAGAAGGAACTTTCATTGTTTGTGATCCATTCTTTATTAGCATAGAGTACTTGGCATCATGTGATACAGTCTCAAAGGGAGAGGGTCATCTGTTTCCATGTGAAGATGGTCATAAGGCACTGACACTAGACTTGGCGGAAATACCATTAATGAATGTACAATTCTGCACATAGCGAACTCAAGAAATAACCCCTAGTATCTCAGAGAGTCTTTGGATGAGAGGAATGTAAGATAACGACTATACCATAAGGGAGAATGGGTAGAAAATGCAGAGTATTACATAGGCTGTTTGGTCACAAAACTGATGGCTAATCCAGGTGATTAATAACACATGTTATTGAGTAAACACCCAAAGGGTGTTGTAATCCCCATGAAAGCCTACTACTAGGTGTCTTTAAGCGAGCCCATGGCAACATTTATGGAAGGCTTGAAACATACAAACGAGTTTCACCTTCCACTCTTTAGAACTTTATTAGCGAAGAAGTCTTATATGTATGATGGTCCTAGATTTTGGAATTCTCTAAGTGAAAGTATTAAAAATAACCCATCCCTAAATTCTTTCAAGAAAAATCTAAAAACATTTTTGCTCAAATCTTATATACAAGAATAATCTGATAACAGTTGGTAATCATCTTAATTTTTCATTTAGGTCTTCATCATCTGCTCGATTAATTTATTATTTATTTGGTCTTATGATCTTACCTTCCCAAAATTAACATTATAACTTACTTTTTCCGGTCATGATTTGTCCTGCTTCTTCTTCTTCTTCCTTCCCCCTTTTCCCCTTTTCCCCTTTCCTTCTTATCTGTTTTACTTCTCCTTGTTTGTTTCATGTTTGTAAATTGTATGTTGTTTTGAAATATTGTCTTGTGTTTTCTAAGTCTTCGTAGGCAAATTTGAAACATTTATATTTTAATTTTTTCTGGGGGATCCACAACCTACAAGCACTGCTTTTTAGTGGATCCCCCCCCCCCCCCCCCCCCCATTTCCTCAGAAATTAAGAAATTCTTGTGATAATTTTATTATGTGCAAAGTTTATTTGTATGGTTTCTTGAAAAAATGAATTATGTATGAAATCAAATGTAATATCTTTGTTTACCTTTCTGTTGGAAATGAAATAAATATGAATATGAATATGAATATGAATATAATATACAAGTGCAGGGGGGTGTTTCACAAAGATCCTAAGTTGAACTTATCTCTAAGTTGGACTTAAAAATTATGGAAAGCCGTTAGCATCTTTGAAAATATTTTGTAAAAGTTATTTTGAAAGGCATAAAATGTTGATTCAAATCATTCATATTTTCTTTCATCATGGAGATTTCAATGTTCTTGATGTGGAATTTATAACAAGTATAAAATTCTTGAATTTCTACTCTTGAATATATTTCATTTTAAGGCTCAAATGGCTGTCCATAATTTTTAAGTCCAACATTAGTGTTAAGTTCTACTTAGGATCTTTGTGAAACACCCCCCAGGAATCCTTGAAGAATGTCAAAGACATCCTGATAATGACCAAAGTATTACAGCTGCAGAGTATGGTAAAAGGACTGATGGTGATATTTTAGACCTAGTGAAAGGGAGAGAGGTGATCTGTTAAAAATAAAACTCCTCTTTCATTAGAATAGGATCTTGGTGATCACTACTTACATGTTTATATGCACCATACTTTCTAATTCAATAATGGCAGGTTTGATAGGACATGATAAATATCATGACGGATAGTCAACCTGCTCGAAACGTCGAGCCACTCATCCTCTCCAAGCGCTAAGAAAGATAACAAACAGTCCTTTTTAGGACTACACACCCCCAAGAAAGATTACCAAGTCAGGGTCCTTTTCAGGACTCCTCAATCCTCTCTCTCTCTCTCACATGGTGCACCCGCAAGCCTACTGTATATCTACATCACCATGCAAGCCGACACTTACAAGCAGCATCTAATGATGATTTAGTTAATGGACAGAGGATTATCTTGATATATTTGTCTCTCTTTTCATTTTTCAGTCATTACCTACCTCAGGACCAGGTATTAACAGTCTAGATCATGTAAGTATCACACTCAAGACACCTTATAATTTTGTATTTGTGTCATTTATGTTGCTTACATGTAAATCACAAGGCGTAAAAACTTAGTCAATAAATTTGCTATAGAAATATATAGTTAACACTTGCACCAAAATTTTCTTGGATCAAAACCACGACCTGCCATATTGTTTGGTTTGTTCGTTTGTCTTACCTGATTGCTAAGAAAGCATGTGTATGCTTGTAAGTGAGCAACCAAGGGACCAGCTGCTTTAAGTCCTCTCCGAGGGACTTGGTAATGAGGATTAATGCCTTACCAAAGGGCACTAGCGCATCGATGGTTTCAAACCCGGAACCTCTCTGTGAGGAGACCACTGCTCTACCACCGAGCCGTCACACTTCACTTAAAGCCCCACTGTCGTACTTGTAGCTACTTACTCCTCTATATAGAAAACTTTCCCAATCGGTGCCTGTTGGTCTCCCATGATCCTCTTTTTTATGTAAGTTGAGAGCTGAGTTAATGAGATAGCCACCTGTCAGTGACCTCGCTGTGTGGTCTAATTCCTTCTGGCCCAGTAGTATTGACGCTCTTTAATGTGGATTGCATGTGTGAGAAAGTCAACTGTAACTGCCATGTTTGTTCCACTGATCAACCGAAGCAAGTGAAGTGTTAACCTGATGGATATGATTTGATTTTGATATGTCACACATTTTCGTTACTCTCCGTCGTGAGGTTGCTTTGAGTTGTATTCAATGGCTTATTATGTTGCCTAACAATATTCACAGCTGCCAAATGAAGTTGATTTATCAGTATTAAGATAAACTTGAGTTCTGGTGAAAAAAGAAAATGAATTCTCATAGAATCTAACAAAACTTACACTGAATGTTCAAGATTACAAATAAATGTCATGTGCCAAACAATTATGGGGAAAATGTATACTGGCTGAGTAATGAGCATAAAAAGATAAGGACATCAAGGTAGTACTAGCCCTGACACCATTTGTGTTGTCCCATATACATCTTTCTGTGTACAGTGAGTGTTACTTTACCAAGACTGGGCAAAATTTATGATGATTTTGATGACACCAGAACCTTGCATTACACACCAATATTTGCATGCTATATGATCAACTTTTCTGATCCATTCCACACCTTTTCTTTCACAATGCAATCGCATGACCAGAACTCACCATTATCTTTAAATTCAAGACTACCTTGGTGCAGTGCCAGCAGTTGACCTTAGGTCAAAGGTCACATTGTTCTGACCCCTCATATTAACCTTTCACTTCCTCTCTGTTTTTTTTTCCTTCCAGGATTGTTTATTATTGAAAGCAACTTCTCCAGCCACCATGGAATGCTTAGAAGACTGCCTCACTATGCTGTAAGGTCAAAGGTCACATTGTTCTGACCCCTCATATTAACCTTCCACTTCCTCTGTTTTTTTTTTCTTCCAGGATTGTTTATTATTGAAAGCAACTTCTCAAGCCACCATGGAATGCTTGGAAGACTGCCTCACTATGCTGCAACGTCAGCAGTTGACCTTAGGTCAAAGGTCACATTGTTCTGACCCCTCATATTAACCTTTCACTTCCTCTCTGTTTTTTTTTCTTCCAGGATTGTTTATTATTGAAAGCAACTTCTTAAGCCACCATGGAATGCTTAGAAGACTGCCTCACTATGCTGCAACGTCAGGAGTTGACCTTAGGTCAAAGGTCAAATTGTTCTGACCCCTCATATTAACCTTTCACTTCCTCTCTGTTTTTTTTTCTTCCAGGATTGTTTATTATTGAAAGCAACTTCTCAAGCCACCATGGAATGCTTAGAAGACTGCCTCACTATGCTGCAACGTCAGGAGTTGACCCAAGGTCAAAGGTCGGCCCAGGAGCTTGAACTTTCGCAGAGCATGGCCAACATCAGGTATATGTAATTGGTGCTAGGAGGTGTATATGTAGATTAGAGTAGATTAGACTACAAAATATTGTATTAATGGGACTGAAGTTAACCTGCATTATAAACTCCTACCTGTTACCCTTAGTTAGATATCATTGAATTATAAAGGTGTAAATCATGATTTGTTGATCAGGATTTACAGTCTCGTTTCTGTATATGTTTAACAGTTTGATCAAATCGCCGGTCCTCAATGTTCATGTCGTGGCTGCCATGTTGTAGCTCTTTAAAAGGGTCGGCAAACCTTACATCATTAACGATTCGTCGGGAACTTGTAGAGTCCCAAAGTGTGAAGTCATAATGCCAAGTCGGCAAGGTGGCCGGTTCCACACAGTTTTGTGCTCAACACTGGCATGACAATCACACCAATTACTTTAATACTAAAAATTGTTGTGCCTCACTTACTTCTTTGATTTATCTAGCCATGTACATGTATAAATGTATAGTTTATGTCTTGTACTATATTTGTAGTCATCCTTGTTTTTTTCCTTGTTAGAAAAAAAAATAACTGACCAAGTCAGTATAATATTCTTCATAAATAAGCACCATATACAGACGGTGAATGCTGTACAGACGGTTATCAATGAGTCCATTATTTATTAATCAATATTGACAAACCACAGTACATGTGATATTCATATACGTGTAATACCAAGTGATCATGTTCATTTGAATAGTTGAAACATCCATGAAAAAAAATAAATAACCAAGAAACCAAGTAAATATCATCAACAAATGTCTGTTCTTTTTCAAATACGATTTTGTAACACACATTACTATACTTAACCAGGGGGCCGGTGTTTCACAAAGCCTTTTTTTAATGACAAATGACAAAAATCGGCGACAAATCTGCTGATAACAATAATAAAGTTGGCTAAGTATTTTTACCTAAGCCAGAAAACTTAGTAAAATACTAGTAGTTCTGACACAAGTATTGACTTGAGTACCAGTTCCCTGGGGCCTGTCTTATCAAAAGTTGCAATTTATCACAACTTTGTTTGCAATTCATATCTATCGCATCTACAGAGCTGCCAACCATTCCATTTTTGCCGGAATTACTCCGTTTTTTCCTCTAAATTACGGTAAATACGTTTTTTCTTCATAAAATACATGTATGTTTTTTTTAATAATTTTTTTTTTTTTTTTTTTTTTTTTTTTAACATACCGCACATCAAACAACTGCCCTAAACTGGTGATTTGATCACAAATTCAATAGAAAACAAATTTTAAAACATACTTAAAGAGAAAAATGCTCTCAAAAAAATGAAATGCCGATAATACCAAAATAACCACCCCAAAAATTACCTGCTTGTATGGAAATTACAGCATGATGAATGAACATTTCTGCCATTGGATGTGTGTTGCGCGTGGTTGTAATTTTCGTTTTTAGGAATTCCTTTTTTTTGCTTGAAATTCCTATTTTTTGCCATCATGATTCCTTTTTTTGGTCGCACAAGGTTGGCAGCTCTGCATCTACATGTACATGTATATTAGTAAGAAACAGGGGACTGCCAACTTGCAATGGTCAAATGACTTGGGGATTGGTTTGAGTCAATGGCAACTCTTTATAACTACATGGGGCCCAGGTCTACAGCACTAGTTATTCTGTACAGCAGTGTCCATGTTATTAAATAATTATGTTATTCTAGATGTCCATCCTTTTGCTTTGTCTCTGTTGTATACCTTTTTCTTGAACATTTTCTTATACTCTGTTCAACTCCCTTTAATGTAAAGCACCTATGTCATGTAGTCATGTAGAACAAATCAGCTATCATTGAATATATAATGCTTGTTACAAATCATGAAATCATTGTAAAGAAATATTTTTGAAATAAAATTGGTGGATTTATTACTGACACAATCCAAATTTCGGGTCATTTGTCTGATTAAAAGTCATCTTTTAAATAAATCCTACTAACAAGCGATAATTTATATAGACCTGGTTTGGATGAACAGAACCCATTCAAGGCAGGAATTTTTACCAGCTGATTTGATCAGTATTTTGTATTCAAATTGGCAATACTGACATTTTTGTTGTTAAATGCATTTGTCTTTAAGAAGCTGTATATCTGTCAATAGACCATTTCGTAGTTAGCACATGGGTAAAATGACCTCTAATATACACAAATCTTCTACTCATGGAGAAGTCCCACTTTGTATTTTAGAATAATCAAAGCCAAAGTCATGTGTGTGCTTCATGAAAAGCTTTTGTTTGCCCTCTTGTATCATAGAATGTACCGTAGGTGCACACATGAATATGATTACATAACATGAGCACGTATTCATCTCGGTGGGTTTTACAATTTTATCACAAATGACCTTTATCTGCCCATGTTCAGATAGTATTTATGAAATGGCTTATACATCAAGTGGGAAGAAAGTCAGAAACTTTAACGAAAACATTTGTAAAGATGTAAATCAACTTGTTGGAAAGGACAGTGATTTGAGGCTTTTCGGAACATTGCCAATTTAAGGAATAGGATATATATAAAACCAATCTACTTTGACAAATTTATTGTGGATATTTATTCCATCAAATGTCATACATGTACATGCATAATGAAACTGTTATATGTTGCGGAAATATTTGCTGAATTTTTATTTGGCTCTTGATTCAAAAGGAACAAAATGCAGGCAGTTCTCCTGAATGGGTTTTATTGTTCATTGTATGTTTCCTTTCTACTAATCCCTAAATATCTCATTCTTTTCATTATTCTTCACCTTGTTTTCAAAAAATGATCTCTCATTCCTTCATGTACATGTATATTATCCTTTCTTTCTCCTTTTTCTTGTCCTGTGTTCACCTCTGTCTCTCTGTCTCTCTCTCTCTCTCTCTCTCTCTCTCTTCTCCGCTCTCTCTCTCTCTCTCTCCATTTATTTCCCTCTTGTTCTCTCTCTCTCTCTCTCACTTATTTTTGTCTGTGTTTGTCATGTTTACTTGTGTGCTTCATGTTACCCCCCCCCCTTCTTCTCTCTCTCTCTCTCTCTTTCTCTCTATCTCCCCATCTCTCTCTCTCTTTCTCTCTCTCCCTCTTTCTCCCCATATCTCTCTCTCTCTCTCTCTCTCTATATATATATATATCCCTCTTTCTCTCTTCTCTGTCTCTCTCTCTCTCTCTCCTTATATCTCTCTAGTCTCTACCCTCTTCCCTTTGTCTTTTATTTATCTCTCTCTCTCTCTCTCTCTCTCCTGTCCTAAAGTTACCCCTTTCTTTTTTTTTTTGTCTGCTAAATTTCAACTTCATAGATGAAACAAACGACCATCCTGTTTCTGTATATCCCTGCTTCCATGTTAACAAAGAAAAAATGCAGCATGACACATTTATTTACATTATACATGTACATAATGTTTCCCAGCATTTTGAACATTACACATTTTCCAAACTATATAATTCCCTTAACTCTCTATATTCTTCCTGATTGGAGTGATGTAAATTTTGTAAAAGTATTATGAAGTTGTCCAAAAAAGTTCTGAAATTCAATTTTGAGCATTGATATCTCTTTTGTTACTATATATTTGATGTATGTATCATTGTAAAGCCTGTGTATTCCCTTTACAATAAAGGCCCATTTGTAATAATTATGTAATGGTGGACTGTGCAGTACACCTGAATACAGGGCTTAGTCAAATGTTGCAAAATGCATTGTTTTTCTGTCAAAACACCGTCGATCATCCAAACAAATGAAGAATTCACTATTTACAATAACAATGCATTTTGACAACATTTCACTGTGGACTTTGCCCCATAGTCGGGTGTACTTCACATTCCATGATAACATACTCATGACGAATGGAGCATCATTGTTAAGGGGAATAAACAGGCTTTTCATTAATACCAGCATTAAGTATAATAGTATGTTAAAGGTAGTGTATCCCTTTTTTAAGCCAACATCAGATTCTTTAGAACTTTACAGGAATTGTGAAAATGTCACGTATTCATATCTGTGAAATTTAAACGTTGGCAGTTTCCTAGTATTCAAATTATGCAAGGGAGAATCCGTTGATTATCTTGACTTCAATGTCAGACACTGTCTATTGAGTAACTGACTGACTTTTACCATAAGAATCACAAAAGTTTATATTTTCTGCCTGCAAAAGGGACACACCACCAAGAGAGATATCAACCCTAAAACTTGAATTGCAGAACATTTTTTGAGGGGTTAAGTCAAATTTTGCTTTAATACTACATGTTTATATGCCCTGAAGGGATTGGTATTAAACATTGCCTCAGATTAAAAAAACAACAACCTGGATTTAGCTCATGCAATCATAATTATAAACCTTTGGGTCATACACGAATCCCTTGACTTTTACAATAAAATAATAATAAATAGTAATATTCCGCTTATATAGCGCTTAATACAAATGTCTCTAAGCGCTTTACAGATTCGGGTATATACTATTACCCCGGCCATTGTGCACAATCTCTACTCCCTGGGGAGCATTCCAGCCAGTCGCCATTTTACAGGCGCCACCTGCCAATCACTTTGTCTAATCATCAAGATATCTATGATTGGAGAACTTTCAGAATTTGTTTTCCTTATGGTTTTCATAACACTACAGTCTATTTGGAAAATAAGTACGGTAAAACCGGTCACTCAAAGATTTTCACTTATTTGGAAAATATCTATGATAAAACCGGTCACTCAAAGGTTTTTACTTTTTTGAGGCACTTCACGATCATTTTGAAGCGCAATTGGCTTCACTATTACACCATATCACTGACACTGATAACATGTAGGGCCATGCATCTTAGATTTAGCATTGTTAAATGATGCCTTTTAACATGAATGTCTCATAAAAGACAACAAGATATACATGGTACTGGACAAATCTACTGGCCAGACTAAATGAAATTTACATTTTCTTCAGTGTCTCCCCTATCTGTTTGCTCCTGCCTTTGTTTGTGTGCTTGTCATCTACACCCAGCATAAAAGGAGATAATCTTTAAAGATAAAATCAAGTATTGACCTTTGTTCCTTGTTAAAGATGAAGTTGTTTTGCATTGATCAAGTAATGCCCATAGAAATGTTGGTTACATGTAACTTAAAGAGAAGGTTGAGTTCTGGGAAGAGGTAAAAAATAATTTGTGAGCGTTATCATTGTTATTATGCAAGGGTGGAAGAACATCAGATTAAACATGTTCACTGAAAAGCATGGCTCTTCCAATGCCTTCATATTCTAAATATGACATAAAATACGTAAAAATTGGGGGGTAGGTTTTTTTTGCCATGTGCTCGTGTAGTCCCATATACATCATTCTGTGTACAGTGCTTGTAATTTTGCCAAGCTTTGGCCAAATGTCTCATCATTTTGATGATTCCAGAACCTTGCAATACACATGAATACTTACTAGATGATCAACCTTTTCTGATAGATTCCACACCGTTTCTTTCACAATGCAATCACATGACCAGAACTCAACTTTATCTTTAAGCAAACGTGCAGCTTACATGCTCATTTATAGACAAAACAAACTGAAAATATTATGGGTATTTTAAACTACATTGAATAGATTCTAAGCTTTTAAAGGAAACTTTCACAATCACAACAATCACAATTCTTAACCAGAGACAAATATATCATGTTAACAATTGAAACATATTTTATATCCGCTCAAAACTATACCAATAAGTCACTGTACATATTTATATGTCCTTGTTTATTTGTTTATATGTTGATTTCTCTTAAAAAGTAAGTTCAAGCTTAATACACTTAATATTCACTCTATTAGAACCTGCCTGTTAGAAACAGCATGTCACTGGTATATACAAAAAGTAATTATTATAAGCCATTCTGTGAAATCCTCCCCCCCCCCCCCTATCCTGATTTGCTCAATTGCCAGGTTTTTCTGCTTATTGGTGGTTTTGACCTGTCAAGTCCCATCTTATATCAATCATGTCACTTCAGCCTGGGATTCATGCATTCAGGGTTTCCTTTTCTAAATACATTTGCATGCATGTGTGTACTCTTGTCTATAATCCACTTTTAGTACCAAATGTTTACAATATATTATAATTTTGAGGGTATATTCTTCGAACATGATTAGTTGTTGGCCCTGATAACATGAGGGTGCCCTTCTTTGGGTCAATTAATCCTGTCCAAAGTATCCATGGTGTTACCCCAAACCTCGCTTTTAATATGTCTATCCTCACCATAAAAGCCTTTAAAGATCACAATAAATCACACATTAGTAATTGGTACATATTGTTAAGCATGGGTACGGCTATTAATTGTAATTAGTAATTGTGAGCCACATGTAAAGCGACTTACTGTAAATGTTCATATACACCACAGTTCATGTACATTTAACAACTAAATTAGTTATACCCTTACCAAGTTTTTTAAAGGTGGACTGGTTGAAATGCATCCTTTGTTGGATACTTGTAGACCTAATTAATATATTTCATTCTCAAGAAGCATGTACCAGGAATTTTTTTTTTTTTCTCACTTACTTAAAAATTAAAAAACACAAAAGCATAACATTTACAAAGGATATGAATAATTTAGTTGTTTACACAGTTAGTGTAAACAGAAAAACTCAAGGCTTAATAACTTGAAGCATGTCTGTATTTTCCCTTTAAATGTTGACACAATGATAGTATACAAGGCATCTGGCTTACTCATTGTGGTCACTGTAAGAAACATTGTGATAGCGATTCGTGTAGTTCTGTAGTAGAAGTCATAGTGCTATGAATCATTTGTGCTGAAGTCAAATTTTGAGGATCATTGAACATTGCCGGAAAGCATTGGTTTTTTTCAGTTTCTATAATTGGATAATTACACAACATTTGCAGAGAATAAGGTAATTGCATTATTATATATGATAGGTAATTACATTCCAGGCTTAATGTACCAAAGTAAATAAGAGATTCAGTGGAAATGTGTAAATATCCACGTACCTTCATTGTACATGTACATGAGATGTATAAGTAACAACTGAATTATACAAGGTACGATACTTCTTCTGATTTTTATGTATTTGTGTTTATTCATAACTCAAGAATGAAAGGTGGACTGGTTGAATTAAGGCCTTTGTTGAATATTTTTAGCTAGCTTTAATGTGTCACATTCTCAATGAATATTATTGGGGCAAATCAATTGATTTACATACTTCATATATTTCCAAACTTTGTATAGAAGATGAGTAATTCAGTTGATAACTGTATATGCTTTAGCTATATTCCTAAAACAGTGGTTGACATGGTTATTGTTATATCATGTATTCATACATGTAATGTATCCACTTTCAGCTATCTTGTAAACAACCTAAGTGTATTAGTTAAAGAGCAATTGAATATAAATATGTATATAACAATTTTGGTATCCCGTGCGTTAAGCTATATCAGATTATTAAATGAACGTTTATAAAAATTGTATTCTATTTGGAAATTCCATTGACCTATTTCTTGTAAATGATCAAGGATGATTCTTGAATGATCAGTTATTTCATGGGGATACCAATTAATTTGTATTTTACCTGTTTATATGCTTGTGTATTTATCTATTTTGTTTTTGATGCTGTTATTTGTTTTATTATTACCAAACAGGGCCTCATGGAAGACCACCAAGTTGGTGATATGTGCCACCCTGTATAAATATCAGAAATAAAATCAAAATTTTTTTTTTTTTAAAAGATACACATCACATTTCTGTATCAGAGCTCCGTGAACATGTGCAGGACCTACCTGTATGTCGGGCCCAGTTGCCATCATTTACACCTTAAAAACTGTGGCGGCATTTTCAAGGCAGTTTACTGCGCACTATCTGAACATGACTTTACTTGCATTCAGCTATCAAAGAGGGTCTGGTGAAAATGAATGTTCAGTAATTGATCTACAGGGTTAAATACATCAACAAAGCCAATAAAAACAACTGCTGGTTGAAAACAACCACCAGCTATTACAGAAATTTGAACAACATATGGAATGATTATGTAAGGGGCATTTACATTCAAGGCAAAAACCAATTTTTTTTTCTTGACATTCCAGAGTTTTGTTGGTAAGTTGCTAGTCAACTACCCATAAACAAGATGGAAAACCTGATTGGAAAAACACACCTCTGGAGTCTGGGGTGTGTTTTTGTTTAATATTGGCCGCAACTCCACCAATTTTTGCAGTGTAAATGCTCGCTCTCAAAACACTGGTGAATTATTTCGGTTTTTGGTCACGTGACTCTTCTCATTTCCGCATCAACGCATGCAGAGCAGCAACAAGTGGCGCATGAGGACAACTCACCCCCTCCCCCCCCCCCCCCAAAAAAAAAAAAAAAAAAAAAAAAAAAAATATCAAACACCGATGTTCTTTCATGGGTTTTTCTAGTGGTAATTAAAAAGAAAAGATGGTTTTTCAAAGTGGTTTGCTGTAATGTTATGGACCTACTGTATACAAATGACATGCAATCAAAATGGTTTAAAATCTCCACAGTGTTGACATCAGGACACACCTCCCTGAGACAAGACCCCCTGCAGAGCACCAAGCCATCCAATCAACAAGCAGGACAGCGATGACATCACCACAGAGGGGCAGGCCTGGAGGCGTGGCTGGACCCAATACAAACACATCTCATAATATACCAACACCATGTAAGTTGTTCTTCTCTTATTACTGTTACCTAATTGTATACAAAATAAAAAATTATACAGTAGGCTTGCGGGTGCACCATGTGAGAGAGAGGGATGATTGAGGAGTCCTGAAAAGGGACTCAGTAATCTTTCTTGAGGGTTTGTTAGTCCTGAAAAGGAATGTTGGTATTGTCTTGGTATAGTCCTCCAATCAATCGCAATTTTGCAGTCTCCTAAACATAGTTGTGATCGATATCAATCGTAAATAGGTTGCGATTGATATCAACTCTTTGTAAGACGGGGCCCAGAAGTCGCTGACGGTACATCCTTTAGCACCCAGCTCTGAGCCCATTTGTTTGATTATTCCAGTGAGCCATGAGGATGAGGTACCTGACGTAGAAGACGATGCGGATAAAGATCTCGGAGCAGTGGAAGAACACAAGAGCATCATCCTGCATTTACTCTCTCAACTCAAACTAGGAATGGACCTCACCAAAGTAAGTCCCTTGAATTCTGGGGGGTGTTTCACAAAACTTGTCATCAGGTACAAATGACAGTTTTTGTTATAAGCTACTGAAATCCTTGCTCCTAATTGGTTATCAGCAGATTTTTCACTGATTTTTGTCATTTGTCAATGAAAAAAGGCTTTGTGAAACGGGCCCCTGGTCTTGTTAGCTTTTATCCTGCCTTAATGAATACAGCCCAGTGACACAGGACTTATCCCCATTGTGCCAAGCCACAAATCCCCCCTGTGCCAAGTTTATTTTGAGATAATCTGATGCACGTGATGGTAGGATCAATACCGTGTGCGAAGCACTCAGCACAGTACAATGGGCATGACCAATACCTGCTATTACAAATGCGAGTAAACATGCATGAAAATGAAGCCATAGCTCACTCGCGTGTACAAAGCACTATAACGGTAGCGTGCATGCGGCCTTATGGCAGGATATGATTTAAAGTACAACAGTGTGTGATTTATCTGTAACATAAGACTTGAGTCCTACATTTGCTATCTCAACTCAGACTAGGCATGTACCTCTCCAAAGTGAGCCCCTTTGCTTTAGTCTTTTAGACTTAATACCAAAGTAGAACAATCTATGATTTCTCTGTAACCTAAGACTAAGATCCTATATTTTCTATCTCATCTATACTTGCCTGCCCCATTCCTGGCAACTTGTAAATGCTCATGGGAATCACGATAATGTCTTTTTTTTAAATGATTTTCACCCTTTGTTTTGTACGATTTGTTCTTCTATGGAATTCTTTTGTATAAACTTTGTTTTGCCTAATAAATGATAATAATACTACTAATAATAATAATAACTAGGCATGGACCTCGCTAAGGTAAGTCCTCTGAATTTCGGTCTTCTTTAAAGAGAACAGTGCATAACTTTTTTTACCTTTGACCTTCGTTTCAGGTCGTTTTACCAACCTTTATTCTTGAGAGACGGTCGCTGCTTGAGATGTTTGCAGACTTCATGGCACTACCACACATGTTTGCCAGGTAGGTGTTGAGTATATTCCAAGCATTCACACAAAATGCACTGGCAGACTTTCTTATTGGGGGAGGGGGATGGCCCCTGCAGCCCCCCCCCCCCCACCCCTCCCCCTGAAACCCAAGTGCCATACACAACTGAAATATGTGTTCCTCTCATCCCCTTTGGGATGATGAGTCTTTATTTCGCAGAGAATTTGAATACGAGTAAAAAAGGTACCACAAAACTATCATCATGATCTTTCTTTTAAACATGTTAAAATTAAATTGTAGGAAAATTTATATCTATTTATTCATTTGTTTATGTATTTATTAGTCTTTATTTAATAGGGTGGCTCCATCAGTAGTTAAATACTGTTTTCCGTGGAGGCCCTATATCAATAGATGTATCATAAAGATAAATAAATGAAATCCTGTGAACTACTGTCAAGAATGTGAAACATTCAACATACTAGTACATCTGTTTTTGGTTTGCTTGTTGTTGTTTTTTTTTTTAATCATGATTTCTGTTAAATTCTGAAATCGTGATTCATGTTTATTTTTGAAATGATTGGTTTATTCTCCTCAGAATACCCACATTACCGACCCCAGAAGCAAGGATGCTAGCTGTCGTAGAATACTATCTCTGTTCCTTTCATGTTGGTAGAAAGGTAAACAATTTTTTTTGTTTTTTTTTGTCTCCCCCTTTTTCCTCCTTCTCCTTGTTTTTCCTCTTCTTTTCTATCTCTCTTCCTCCTTAATCTTTTTCTTGTTTCCCTTCTTTTTCATCCTTTTTTTTTGGTCTTCTTTCTCTTATTTTTCATCCCCTTCCCTTTTCCTTTCTTTTCCTCTTCTCTTTCTTATTCCTCTTCTCTTCTCCTTTTCTTTCCTCTCCTCCTTTTCTTTCCTCTCCTCCTTTTCTTTCCTCTTCTCCTTCAACTTCTTCTTCATCCTCTTCTCATTCTCCTTCTTCTTCTCCTTCCTCTTCTTATTTTTCTCACTTTTCTCTTCCTGTTTCTTCTTCTCTTTTATTAATTCTCCTGGGCTATTTTGAGTACCGATACTACATTTATCTCTGTTCCTTTCATGTTGGAAGAAAGGTAAATCAGGACAGTTCATTCACTTTGCTTCCGTCCATACATGTAGTTTTGTAGCTTTTCTATTTTGTATATGTTCTCTCTGAAAGTAAGTCCACACACTCTTTATCTTTATCAATTATGTTAACTATTATTATTATTACTATTATTATTATTATATTGAAATAACAATGTTGAATATATGTGAATGTGGAAATCAAGTTGGATTACCTTAACAATTATTGACCTTTGACCCGCAGGGTTCCCTTGCCAAAAAGCCGTACAACCCGATCCTGGGAGAGACATTCCACTGCTCTTGGGACGTGCCTTCCTCTTCATCCCCCAGCCAATCACAGGACTCCATTTTAAATGGTGACCAATCAGGCGGAGGGGCTGCATCAGTAGGTCGGGGGTCTGACAGGGTGACGTTTGTAGCGGAGCAGGTATCCCATCATCCTCCTGGTGAGTTCATTACATAGAAATCTGTGTTTAGAGACCACTCAAAGGGGACAGGAAAAAGGATCTTTATAGGAAGGTGGTCTTTATGTACAGGTTTTCGGAATACCAATTTCAGACATTGTTTACAGGAAATACTTAGTAATATGGTCTCTTAAGAAAGTTCTAATATTCATGTATATTGTACAAAATTAGCATGCTGCTGTTAAGTAAGTACATCCAAATTTGGTCAGCATATCATGCTAATTCAATTGCACACATAAGAACAGCTCTACGTTTAAGATTGAATCTAATATTATTGAACTAAAGATAGGAAATTGCCTTTTTTTCTTGAAAGAGAAATCAATGCTTCTTAACTGTGAAGTAAGAAATTAACTATAAACTGTTACGAACATGAACAGTATACATGTAGATTGTAAACCAACTATGATTTAAAATGGATCCTGTGAACTCTTCTCTTTTTTTTTCTTTTTTTTTCATACTATAGATGTTTGCAAACTTGATGGCACAGTAATGGTCAATGATAACATTGAATGAAATATTAATATCAAAAATACTTTTTAAAGAAAAATAGAATGCCTACAGTTTTTCATCACTTCAAATGTTGTATTGATGTTGATGATTCATTACTGACTGCGCATGACATTTCTTTTACCGCTTTCTTCCCTTCAGTGTCAGCTTTCTACGCAGAGTGTGCAGCTAAGAGGATCTGTATGAACTCATCGGTCTATACCAAGTCAAAGTTCCTCGGCATGTCCATAGGAGTCAATATGATCGGGGAATGTAAGTAAATCATCAAAGGTAAAGATCAGTTTTGGAAACGCCCCCCTCTCAAAAAATGAAATAGAAGCTCTTATTACCAATAGTAATGTGGTCTCTATAGCCAGATGTTCTTTGTATACAGCTGGTCGCTAAAGCAGGGCCCTGTTGCACAAAACTTACCATTGATGGTAACTTTGCCATCAATGGCAACTGCCATGGTAACAGGGCTCAACAGCCAATCAAAATCAAGGTTTCCATGGTAGTTACCATTGATGGCAAAGTTACTATCAATAGTAAGTTTTGTTCAACTTTTGTTTGACTGTAATAATTTATTACCTCTGCATCCTGTAATTTAAAATCCTGTAACAAATTAATCAAAGAAACTCTGTCGTATCTCAAGACAAAGTATTAAGTTTATCCAGTTTTAACAAATTAACCTTTGACATCTCTGCTACAGGTGCAGTACATGTATTAGACCACGGAGAGACCTACACACTAACGTTTCCTAATGCATACGGACGGTCTATCTTGACGATACCGTGGATGGAGCTGGGTGGAAAGGTCCTAATACAGTGCGCAAAGTCAAACTTTTCAGCTTCAGTTGTCTTCCATACAAAGGTAATATATTTGTTTCATTTATTTATTAATTTGGTAATATTTCAACAGGGTAGCCCCCGTAGTAGTTGAAATACTGTTATACTTAGGGGCCCTGCATAACATAACGCTAAGACGAGAAAGAGTGCACTGTTTAAGCAGCCAGTACTGATAATTATTCGATTTAAATCAGATTTTGTTTTTCCTGATCTTTTCCTTATTTTTTTTTCCCCCCGATTTTTCCCTATTTTTTCCCAATCACCCCTAGAGCTGGTGTTATATCAATACCCAATCATTCCACACTAAAATCTTTTTAGCTATTCAAATCAGTAACGTTTTGAAAATCTTTATTGCCCTTCAGCCATTCTATGGGGGCAAAGTTCATAGGTTGACTGCAGAGGTCAAGAATCCGGCCAATCAGACAGTCTGTAAGGTCCAGGGAGAATGGAACGGAAGGCTGGAATACACCTACTCATCCGTAAGTATACACCTAATGAAATATATATTTTCCCCCCAAGAAATGTCAGTCGAGGCTTGTTTACATACGACACGATAAACCATGGCATTTTCTTATGACGTTACTATAATTATAAGGTACCTGTTGAATAGCTAAAAACGTAGTACCAAAAGACGCGTCCAGGGGGGTGTTTCACAAAGACTAAGAATTACTTTAAGTTGGACGTAACTATGGCAGGCCACTCATGACACTGTTTGCTCTCACCATTTTGTCTCTCACGGCCACAAAGGCCACAAATCTACAGAATTCATATTTCTTGATAATTCATTTATATTGAAGGAAAAAATATCTAAATACCTTAATGGTGAGAGCAACCAGTGGCATAAATGGCCTGCCATAGTTAAGTTCAACTTAAAGTTAATCTCAGTCTTTGTGAAATACCCCCCAGAATACAAAAGGCATAATTGTTGAAAATTATAATTTTCTGTCTGTTTGCACCCTAAAGTAAGCGTGTATTCCCCCCCCCCCCCTCCCACCATGCTGCTCCAAGCTTTCGAAAGCGTGAAGGTAAAAGTTGGTTCTTGAAATAGTTATGTATGTAGGGAGAGTAAAAAGTCATAGATACTTGTAAGCAAGCAATCAGGGTTTCCCAAGAGAGTTAACCCAATCAGTATGCAAGGAGAATTCAAGTCTCTTCCTGAAAGTTTGCTAGCATTTATAACATCAATTGTATTTCAATGTTTTGTCTACAGGGAGAGCAGAAGGTTATAGATACCAGCAAGCAATCGGGCTGCCCTAAGAGAGTAAGACCGGTCAGTATGCAAGGGGAATACGAGTCGAGGAGATTATGGCAGAACGTTACATCAAGTCTGAAGGTTGGCGATATCAACACAGCTACAGAACACAAGAGATATGTAAGTAGAGTCACAGGTTTATAGCTATTTGGTCTACAACCAGGGGGGGGGGGGGGGGGGGGGGGGGGGGGGGGGGGGGGGGGGGGGTTCACAAAACTTGACATCAGTGACAAATGACAGTTTTTGTTATAAGCTAGTGAAATCCTTGCTTCTGATTGGTTATCAGCAGATTTGTCACTGATTTTTGTCATTTGTCATTGAAAAAAGGTTTTGTGAAACCGGTCCCAGGTTGTCTATAAAGTACCCAGCTAGTCTATTCCCATATGGTCTACACCCAGCCCATCCACTATCCACATGGTATAATAATGATTTTGTCTATTTATCATTTGGTCTAATTACCATTTGGTCCAATTTCCAGTTGGTCTAATTCCCAGTTTGTCCAATGCCCATTTCGTCTAATATCCATAGGGTCTAATAATAATTTGATGATTATTGTCGGTTACGATTAAATGAATATGGAGTAGACCATATGGGAATAGACTAATTAGGTAGTAGACCAAATGGCAATTCACCCAGTCACATTCTTAATTAAAGCTTTCCTATACATGGATGGTAATGTGCTTTATTTCGTTTTTATTCTCTTTTCATTTTTCTGCTACTGTATTTTTTCCATCTTCTCTTATTATTTTCTTCTCTTTTGTCTTATTGTGTCTCTTGGAGAAGATGAGATTTATAAATATATTAGTGTGCTAGGGAAATAGTTAAGATGAAAGAACCTGTTCTTAAACTGGAATCCAATTATTTGTGAGAAATGTATTTCCAAAAAGAAAGGGGCACTGTTCCATACCTACCAACCCTTCCAAATTATCCGGAATATTAAGATTTTATTGATTTTTGTAACCTAAATTTTCTGAATATTCTGGTTTGTCACAATTCTGAAAGACCTATATTTTTTTCAATAGCCAAATTTAGCTTGTTCTAATATGTGCCGCGATTTGAGAGCTCGTGTATTGCTTGCGTTGAGTGGCTGCACTATCGAGCAGTGAATTTGTATTTGCTTTTTTTGTACAGATTTAGCGCGTATTGCCAGATACATGGCCATGGTAAGGCTGTGCGAATCCTGCTAGAAATTTCTAATTCTTATTTTCAAATGTTGGCAGGTATGCTGTTTTTTTAAACCAAACTGTTGCCAGGGATTTGATATAGCATATCTTTCCAATACGATGACATGATTCACTAAAAAAAATTAGTGAAATTCTTTAAAATTTTCTTACTTCATGGTCTACAAATTTCTTATCAATTTTTCTATTTAATCAACTGCTTCATCGCAGTACGCACTTTATACCACTCCTTTCATTAGATTGTTTGTAAAAGCAAGTAATTTTATTATTGAAGTACATAACTTTGCTTGTGGCAAGTGTTTGTAAAATCCACTATTTCTTGAGGAGTCTTTTTTTCTATCACGAATAAGTTCACCATTAGTTGTGCTTCCCCTTGGAAAGTAATGGAAGAGTCCACATCTGATTAGCTCATCGAATGAAAAGTCAGTAATGTGGATTGGTGCATTATTTAGTGGGGTATTTTCATTATTGAAGTATAAAACTTTGCTAATTGTGGCACGTGTTTGTAAAATCCATGGCACTGCAGGGTTGAATGTTATCAATGATGAATGTTGGCAATTTGCATATTTATTATCCTTTGCACAATCCTTTGCACAATCAGCTGGAAGAGAGACAGAGGCAGGAGAAGAAGTTACGGATGGAGACCAGCTCTGCCTGGCAAACCAAGCTGTTCTCCCCCGCTCCCAACAATGGATGGGTCTACAACCACATACTCAAGCATTAGCGATCACTGCAAGCTGGATCAGTCCATTTAGCATAGAGGAGGCAGGATAAGTTCAACCTTAATTGTGTTCCCCCTTCTAAACGCAATGGAAGAGTCCACATCTGATTAGTTCATCCAATGGAAAGTCAGCAATGTGGATTGGTGCATTATTTAGTTTAGACGGGGAGGGGGCAGTATCTGTTCTCAAGCCTTCTCCGAACAAGATGTACATGTTTAATATATTTCAGTGAAATTTATATTATATCTTTATATAAACTGACATTATAACAGTGAGATGTAAATATTGTCTGTTTTGGAGCCAGAAGGGCATTAACTCATAACACAAGATTAAAATACTCCTTTAAAGATGAAGTTGAGTTTTGGTCATGTGATTGCATTTTGAAAGAAACGGTGTGGAATCGACCAGAAAAGGTTGATCATCTAGCATATGAAGAATTTATGTGTATTGCAAGGTTCTGGAATCATCAAAATGATAAGAAATTTGGCCAAGTCTTGGTAAAGTTAAAAACACTGTACACAGAAAGATGTATATGGGACTACATGAACACGTGGCGTAAAAATCCTACCCTGGAGTTTTATGATGTTACATGACATATTTAGAATATGAAGGCATTTGAAGAGCCATGCTTTTCAGGGAACATGTCTTATCTGATGTTCTTCCACACTTGCATAATAAGAATGATAACGCTCACAAACTATTTTTCACCTCTTCCCAGAACTCAACTTCTCTTTAATCTAACAAAGGGTTGATGCGCTTCTGGCTCTGACTACAGACAAAAGCAATGTATGATGGGTAGATTTTAAGAAACAAAACATTATATTTGATAATTGAATCTCTAATTGTACTGATGTTTATAGTAACTACATGTATAATAATAATAATAATAATATGTCTTGTTTACCCAGGGTAGCCTCATCAGTATTCATACTGTTCTCCCTGAGGGCCCTGCAATCATATTAAAACTCCTCGTAAGAAGGAAATTCTGACTTTAATAAATTGTGATAATGATACAAGTGTATATCATGCATTAGAGAAACGAAAGGTCTGTCTTTGGGGAAAGAGAGTGTTTATGGTCCAACAAATTTCCATATTTGTCCATATTCAATCCAATATCCATATTCACACCATTTTTCAATAATGCTAATTCTTGACGATTCTTTTTTCTATCACATTGTATTCATCTTACGAGTCCTGCTTCAAATGCTGTATCTATGAACTGTATTCTTTCAGTATTCACATAATGTTTTATCTTATAGTGATTATCGATATTTGTGCAATTTGGAATATTAGATTTGGAAGAAGTTTGATCATATTCTGACAAATATAGTACATTTTAGATATGAAAATTTCCTCTTTATTAGATTTTATAGAATAAATTTGTGAAAATAATTGATAGTCCATTCTTCTAGTGCTATAGCATGTAAAAAGAGGTGCTTCTTCTTTTTTTCTTCTTTTTTTCCTTCTCCTTCTCTTCCTTCTATTTCTTCTTCTCCTTTTACTTCTTTTCCTTCTACTCCTCTTTCTTCTTCTTTTTCTTCAGGCAAATGTGCTTCATGATCCATTTCACACACTAAGAGAATTCTTAATGTCAACACAGGAGCAAACACTCTTTTTTCATTCATTTTTTGGTTTATTGAAAGACATATCCTAACTTTATCTAAGCCTGCAGCAATTGTCGTTGAAGTATATTAGAAAAAACATACATACTGAAGCTTTTCTTCTTTCATGCATCAGATTAAAGAGCAATAATGAAGTGAAAGCTGAATTCAGACAATATAAACAGAAGTTATAGGAACAAAGCGAGGAAGAAATTATCTGGCTGTTATTGGCTGCTGAGAATCACAAAAATATAGACGTACAGTTTAATGAAAATAGTGCCAAGGAGATTGGTGGTCTATGGGTATTGTGTGTATTAATTGTTGCATATTTGCACCTCTGGCACTGCAAGAGTTAATGAAAATGGGCTGTAGCACTGCCAGCTAGAATAACATGAAAGGCCTCATGTAAAGCTTTGGCACATCTGCCTGGATTTCTATTCTCTAATTTTGTATAGTACCAATCAACTGTTTAAATCAGTAAGTATATTGTACCATCAAAACGACTTTAGCGACCACCTGTGTATAAAGAACGCATTTTCCATTTCCCTTAAATATGTTTTCTCTTTTAAACCTGTACATAGAGAACACCTACCTATAAAGACCACTCTCATGTATCGCTTGAGCGGTCTTTTTATACAAGTTTCACTGATATACAAAACTTGAAGGGGAGCTGAGTGTTATTTATATGTAGGTGTTCAGGGTCTGAAATTTCAGACTAGACAAGGTAAACTGCCAGGTTATTCCATGTCAAATCACCCAAAAAATCTGAAAATCTTAACCCGACCATTTTTGTGTGATCTTCCAATTCCGTCAAATGATTGACCTTACATTTGAGATTTGGTGCTGTGAGATCACACTTAATAAGTACACCAAGTTTCATCCAAAAAAAAAATGGTCGGGTTGAAATCATTGGGTGATATGACATGGAATGACCCTGCCTCAAAAAGTACAGATCTTAAATTAAATTAAATTGAATTGAATGGTTTATTGAGAAAAATGAAAATGGCAGCCCATAAGCTGAATTACATTAAATTTACAACAATATAATAATAATAATAATATTATAATAGCAGATGAAATACATAGCAATGTTAAATTGATTATTACATAGAGCTTACCAGAATACATTCAGAGATAAATTTATAAGATATAATATAATAACCATTACTAAGTATGACCAGCACTATTCTAGAAGTTAATACATAAATCTGTGATGGCTTATCTGTAGAATCCATTTTAAAAATGAAGTTGAGTTCTGGTCATGCGATTGCATTGTGAAAGAAAAAGGTTGATCATCTAGCATATAAGAATTTGTGTGTATTGCAAGGTTCTGGAATCATCAAAATGATAAGAAATTTGGCCAAGTCTTGGTAAAGTTACAAACACTGTACACAGAAAGATGTATATGGGACTACACGAACATGTGGCGTAAAAATCCTACCCTGGAGTTTTACAATGTTACATGACATATTTAGAATATGAAGGCATTTGAAGAGCCATGCTTTTCATGGAACATGTCTTATCTGATGTTCTTCCACACTTGCATAAGGCCTATAATAAAAACTTGTTGCATTGCCCTTTGGGTGCCAAAACATGGGTCGGTCAGTCGGTCAGAATTTCTTTCTTTATTTTACCTTTGTTTTTGTCGCCCTCTTTGGACCGATATTTTTCAGATTTGAATGTTATTGTTGTTTTGTTCTTCTTCTGCCCTCTCTTGGCTGATATTTCTCAGTTTTGTTAGTGCTTCAATACATCGTACGGTCATCATTCCATTGATATCTTTTTCATCTCATAATTATCCGTGGTTTGCACGAGTGAGAATTTTGGAATAATTTGATTTTAGGCATTTATTTCCCAACAAAATACATGTTATTTTATTCATTAATTTTAAAAAAATCTAAAAAACGGTTTGAAAAAGAAAAACTTTTTTTAAATGCCGACCATAGATTTTCAGATTTTTGGGTCGGTCGCAAAGGGCAATACAACAAGATTATATTTTAGGCCTAATAAGAATGATACGCTCACAAATTATTTTTCACCTCTTCCCAGAACTCAACCTTCTCTTTAAGTGCACATGGATGGCAAGAGAGTGTAAGAAAGCCTCACACAGAATCACTTAACCTATTGATTACTAAATTCTTTATACCCATAGGCTTTTATACAGGACCCAACCGGCGCCAATAAGCAATGGGTTAAAGGGACTTGGTAACATTGTTCAGATAAGAGAAAATGATGCTAAAGAAGTGACGTCAATGCTCGATGTACAGTTAAAGATAATCCGAAAGTTTAAGTGAAAACGACCATTATTAATGACAAACATTGAGAAAATCTGATATGATCGATTCCTTAACTCTCCCAACTATATTACAATGAATTAGTTAAATTTTAAGTGAATGTGAATCGTCACAAAGGAATGAATTGGCTCTGTATACCATTCCACACATTTAGGTGTTGTAAGATTTGTAAAAGCCTGTTTCATGTCTTAATTTACACAGAAAATTGTGCAGAGTCTTTATTGTCTAGCTAGTTTATTTGTTCATTCTTGTGTCTTTCGTAACAGAAGGGTAAAAATAAAAATAAACGTTATTACATATTATATCAATAATTGATAAACAGAAAGATATACATGTATTTATCTCACGAATCTAATAACTACCTGTACAACTAGTGCTTCTATATACATATATCACATCATAATGTTTGTTTGTTTTTTATTTCTTTATTATTTTCTATTATTTATATCACTATATCACTTGTACAAGTTGAGTATATTAAAATATTGGGGTTGCTAGGTTTGCCAAATTTCAGGAATGTTTGTGATGATTATTATGTTAAGAAAATAGTGAACATTTGTTAAAGCTCATCTTGAGCTCTGGTATGGGAATCGTATTTTGAGAGAAAATTGCTATGATTTATTCTGGATTGTTTGGCCTGCAATAGCTTACTGTGCATCGATCATCTTCGATTAAAACCACAACTCCCATTTGCACATAGTGACCTGTGTTTAGCACATGGCGTCAGGCCTATACCAGATTTCCTTATCTTTCTATGCTCATTACTCAGCCACTGTACATTTCTTCCAAAATCTACCAAAACTGTTTGGCACATGTCATTTATTTGTAATCTTGAACATTCGGTGTAAGTTTTGTTGGATTATCTGAGAATTAATTTTTCTATACACCAGAACTCAAGTTTATCTTTAAACTAGTTGTTCAATGACAAATGTAAAATTAAGATCATTTGAATTTTTGTATAGAGATAGTACATGTTATTTAATTATTTTCAACTAACTACATGATCACAAGCTAATGAAATGCATAACAGTAATTAATTACCAGACTTTAAGAGGCAGTTATATACATGTAGCAAGCACTTAAGTAAATGTGCAGCATTTTTGCCCCAATATCTAGGCCCTAACGATGCACAGAGCAGAAAGT